TTCAGCACAAGATAGGTGTAGTGCGAACCCTCACTGACCGAGCCAATGTGATTGTCACCGAAGAGAGTGACAAAACCCTGGAAATCGAACACATACAAAATGCACTCTCGGTATGTGGATACCCAGAATGGATGTTTCAGGCCTGTAAGACAAAACGTTGTAAGAGACCTAACAGAACTCCACCTGACCAGACAAGAGTGGTGCGCAGAGGGACAGTCAGCATTCCTTACATCAAGGGTATCTCTGAAACACTCATGCGACTGTACAGAAGCAAAGGGATACAGTGTCAGTTCAGACCGGTCAACACCATCAGACGGAACCTGGTAGCACCTAAAGACAAGATCAAGACGCTGGATCGGAGTGGAACGGTTTACCACATCCCATGTGCGGACTGTCCTGCAACATACGTAGGGGAGTCTGAGAGACCACTACGCGCCCGTCTACAGGAACACAAGAGACCGAGCTGTGTGTCGTCACCTGTTGTGGAGCACGTCGCCAGGAAGAAACACAACATAGACCTTCAGGGTAGACTGGGGCAGGGTCAAAGTGCTGGATCAAGATTCCGATTGGTTTGCAAGGGGGGTCCGGGAGGCAATCCAGATCCGCCGACAATGCAGTACCTTAAACAAGGACAGGGGGCGTCACTACCTAAAACCTGTATATGACTGTCTCTTGTCACGTGATTATCCCATCAAGTCACGTGACAAGAGAACTCCAAGACGAGATCTCAATCGGGTTGAAGAAGAGACAGTGTAACGTCTCGAAAGCTCCCCAGCATAGCTGAACTTTGTTGTGTGTATTTGTATAAATATTTTGTCAAAAGTACATATATGTATTGTGTATCAAATGAATACTTGGGGAAGTTGGGGTCTTGTGTCGTTGGTGTGCACTTGTCCCTAAAAGTAGGCCATATTTTGGACATACATACAGAAATTAGCAAAAACGGCTAAGTTTGAAGGTCTAGAAATGACGAAGTAGGATGTCATTTTAATTTAATCTTTTAAGAGGAGTACATATATGTATTGTGTATCAAATAAGGGCTTGTGGAGGTTGGGGTCTTGTGCCGTTGTTGTATACTTGTCACTAAAAGTAGGCCATATTTTAAACATTTACAGAAATAGGCATATACGACATGAACAAAAAAGGAAGCCCTCAAAATCACCCATGTGATAGCCAATACTATAATAAACACATGGTAGAAGGATGAGTCTGAAAATAACTTCACTTTGGTATTTTCATCAGCTCAAAAACAGCCCAAAATCCAAATTTGGGGACAAGTGCAGAAAATGACCTACTTCGAGGTTGCCCAAAGACTGAAATCTGCCTGTACATCAACTTCACACTTATTTCGTACAAGTTAAGGCATTGGTCTAATTATATCCTGAAGTATTTGTTGTTACGTTAAAGCAGTTGGCGGTGGCCGCGTCCTAAACTTTGCCAATTTCCGTCTTGCAGAGACGCAAAAATCTGTCAAAATGGCCCCAAAACTTGAATGGGCTGTTGCCATGGCAACAATGGGTTTTGAGCGGAAAGAAAGCTATTTCAAGGGGTTGTGGGCGACGTACTATCACTGTGCAAAATATGAGCAAAATCGATTTTTGACCCCGCTCACTATTGTTTAATAATTACAGACATTTGCTCTTTAAAAATGGCCTACTTTTAGGGACAAGTATACAACAGTGACACAAGACCCCAACCTCCACAAGCCCTTATTTGATACACAATACATATATGTACTCCTCTTGAAAGATTGAATTAAAATGGCATCCTACTTCGTCATTTCTAGACCTTCAAACATAGCCGTATATGCTAATTTCTGTACATGTCCAAAATATGGCCTACTTTTAGGGACAAGTACACAACAACGACACAAGGCCCCAACCTCCACAAGTATTCATTTGATACACAATACAAATATGTACGTCCCTGCAAAGATTGAATTCAAATGACATCCTACTTTGTTATTTCTAGAGCTTCAAACATTGCCGTATGTGTCAATTTCTGTAAATGTCCAAAACATGGCCTACTTTGAGGGACAAGTGCACACCAACGACACAAGACCCTGACTTCCCCAAGTATTCATTTGATAGACAAGACATAGTGTTACTTTGGGCAAAAGACTTTATCAGATTGCTTTCTTTCTTTTATAGATATAGTATCCTGAACATGGCTGAAAATCATATTTTCCCTCAAATTCAAAATTTGACCTACTTCTAAGGACAACCACGTGACAACCAAAGAAGTGCCCAAAGTTTGCAACCATGCATTTTATAGCACATATATTTATGTATCTATGATTCAAATTTGAAGCAAAAAAAATCACCATCTTTGGACTTACAGCACTTCGAAGTTGGGTAGAAATAACGCTTTTTTTATAAGCCTCAAACACTGTATTGTGTTAGGGTTGCCCAGGTCCTTTAAACGAACTTCTTGAAAATTTCAAAGCTATTCTAGAATAGCGGATTAGTTGGTCTTTTATGCCCATCCTTTTTTTTTCCATAATATTAAAGCACTTGCTCGTAATTATGCCTTAAACTATGCCAAATTTCATGTTTTTCACATGTCTAAATCAGGGAAAATGGCCCTGAAACTTGTTTGGCCCGTTACCATGGCAACGATCGGTGTTGACCGGAAAGAAAGCTATTTTGAGGGGTTGTGGGCCAAGTACTATCACTGTGCAAAGTTTGAGCCAAATCGATTTTTTGACCCCTGCCACCATTGTTTGATCCTTACAGACATTCGCTCTTAAGTCGNTAATGCCACCACCAACACAGGGGACAAATACATGACAGGACAATACTCATTTACACCTGAGCGAAGTGAGGAAAGTCGTGTAAAGTTCCTTTCCTATAAAGGGCACAAGATCGGTGGCATGTCAGAACTCGAACCCGGGACCTCTAGGTTCCGAGTCGCGCACTCTGCCGCTACGCCACACGACCCCACACGACCTCATAAGTACTTTGTGCCCGAGTAAACTCTATTTCACCCTGGTCATGAGACAATGGCCGGCGCTGTTTGTAGATGTGTGTTGTGCCCAAATATAGGCACAGACATAGGTAAAATGAGTCAACTGTTTGCTGAGTAGCTTGTTAATTAGTTACGTTGTAATGCCACAAACACGCTCTGTCCGAGCAAAACACAGACTTTATAAGGCTTTCATACTACATGAAGACACACATGTATGATTTGCAACATTTTAAATGACCAGCTCTTAAAGAAATTATTTTCACTTTTTTTATTCACGCTATGTTATTGGTTAAGGTATATGCAAATCAATATTAGCAGAACTAACTATCTGGCCATGAGGTCATGACGATCGTAATGTGCGGACGAAGGCGCAAATACACATTTTTCAACGCTGTTCTACTGGGATTTTCTACGCATTTTATTTCATTTATTTGATCTCATAATAAGGTCATTGACCCTCGATTTCTTCCTGTTGTGGCAAAATTACTTCCGCATTCGGTGCGTTGGTTTGTGCGTTTCTCTGACGTATGACGCGTTCACGTGAGAACTATTTCCCCAACCTGTACATATACCAGGGGTGCCAGAGTATACAGTGCAATTTTACGGAATACAGTGCAATTTTACGGAATACAGTGCAATGGTATTAGTGTAGAGTGCAATTTTACTAGTATACTATATGCAATTTTACTAGTAAAATTGCACTGTATACTAATAAGATTGTACTGTATTACGTAAAATTGCACTGTATACTTATACCATTGTACTGTATACCGTAATATTGCATTGTATTCCGCAATATTGCACTGTATACTGTATACAGGACCAGCATATAGACACTGTACATGCCACCCGTATAAATGCTACTATATATATATAAACTAAACTCCATGGTATAGCCAAGGACATTATACACACTGTGTATAATGTCCTTGGTATAGCCAATAGGGAACCAAACACAATGTTCCTGGAAGACATAATTGAGAAGTTCATGCCCACAGGCTACCAAATTACAAACATAAAAGAACATTGACACAGAGTATAAAATAACTAACTAGAGTCCCACGATCTCATACCTTCGCCAAATGATGTTAATCTTTATGACAAAGTAAAGATTATTCCTCCTGATTTTGCAAATAGGATCCTCATTTGCATGAATTATATGAGTTGATCATATTATCCATAAAAGACAGCCTTATCTTAAAAAAGAAAGCCATTCTATCATTACCTCATAAATTATGCAAATGAGGTCCTTATTTGAATAAATAATGTTTAATGATGTTCACATTCACTTAACTTGCAAATACCCTAAGTATGAAATTCCAGGCAGTTACCATTATGGAATTATAACATTTTCTCATTAATTATGCAAATTAAGCGTTGATTTACATAATTAATATCTGCCTGTGTTTTTCTCGTTGTCAATTACATATGTCTCAAGCTTGAATAGTCCTATAATGTAATGCAGCTGATTTACCGAATTTCCTCATTAATTATGCAAATTACGTCCAGATTTGCATAATTGTCGCATAATTATGTCAAGCATCACTTAAGCTACTTACATAACAAAAATCATGATGATCCGTCCACCGGTTCTTGAATTATCCTCTTATGAATATTTTCAAAGAAATGGCCCTGCAGTTCCTGAGCAAGCCGATAGGGGGCCCAAACCTATGTCACTTATTCCCCAGCACAAGACCTACCTACCATCCAAATTTCGTGACCCTAGCACGTCCAGATCACGAGATATCAAAACCGGAAGTTTAGCTGCAGTACCATAACAAGCCGCTAGGGGGCCCAAAATCTAATCAGTTCGAGCTCTCATCAAGACCTACCACCTACCAAATATCAAGATAATCCATCTAAGCTTTCTCGAGATATGCTGTTGACACACACACACACAGACAGACAGACACACACACGGCCACGAAAACATAACCTTCTCCAATTCTTGGCGAAGGTAATAATAGGCACAGGAAAACGACAGACCAGCTGGTCAGACTGGCCGACTTCACCACGATTTATATTGTACTCACAGGTAGAACAGGACAGGTAATACGGCCAGGAGAATCCACGACAGCGGGACGGGTACAGGCGGGAAGTCCAGCTCCATGTTGGCGGTCAGCTGCCCGGTCAGGTACGGTATTAAAGTTGGTAAGCTCCGTCACGATGGTTCTCAGTAAACTTCGGGAACCCGAGTCAGCTGAATATAAAGTCTGCTGCACCCGGAAGTGACGTAATGCCTATTGCTGTGCCGTGACGGCAGCTTAGACGCTCTGGCGGTCGTTGACCTCATGCAAGGAGGTTAAAAATTTAGCCTTCTTGCCTCATGCAAAATGTAACGTTACGTTTGTCAATTATAATAACACCATTGGCTATAGATATATGAATGAATGAATGAATGAACTTTATTGCTCAACAATCGTACGAGGTACAATGTATGGCAGTAATACAACTACAAAACTTTACTTACTACAAACTACTATCTAAACAGTATTTGAGTTACTACATGGTCATGTATTGATGATATGATGGGCGAATTAGAGATGAAAACATCTACGTTTACAATTAAGACGATCTTTCTAAATTTACCGTCTTCGAAAATCTCCAACCAAAAGACCCACTGCAGTTCACAAAAGGCTGCCAGGGGGTTCCAGCGTATACCGCTTCCCCTGGATCCCAAAATATGATAGTACTAAAATGCCGAAATCTTTTAGAAGAAGGCCAATGTGGCCTCATATGGGGGAGTTTTCACGCGACCGAAAAGTAACGTTACCTCCGACAATTCTTACTGATGCGTACATTTGAGCGTTTCAAGCTTTTAAACATACTCTACATCTATTGTGTTTAATAATAGCGCTATGAAACGTTTATGATTTGATAACAAGAAGGATAACCTATTCGCGTAATTAATGGGAAATTGGTGCAGGTATGATGTCGTGGAACTCTTGTTTTATTTATTTATTCATTTATTTATTTATTTCAGCTTAATTACCTATACACCTGTAAAAGCCGAAGGAAACCAGGAATTTTGCCTCCTGACCAAGATGGAATAACAGAAAGGACATGACAAGAAATAATAATCAATACCAACATAATAATAATGATAATAATAACAAGAACAATTATAAGAAAAATTAACAAGCAGATATTAAAGTAGTGCAAAAATAACATCTTGAGAATAAATCATGGACTGTTGCTCATTACACTGGCACCATCTAAAGACGTAAGTACGTCCAAATTAGAACATCTCCAATTTTCAACTCGATAATGATAATTTCAATCATAATGAAAGCAACAGAGGAATAAAGTTTTGGTTCATCCTTGACCTTGGTGAAGAAGAGTAGTAAAGATTAAGGTAAAGTTTACGGCCGTGCGAAGAAATACACATCCTTAACATATTGTTATTGATATTAAAGCTCTCTATATATATAAAAACAGACAATTTAATTTTGTCACGATTAAGGGCTTTATAGATTATGTTAAATACTATCACAAATTAGAATATGTGATAGCACAAAACTGTGGGAAAATGGATAAACATATGTTGAAATGGGGTCCACTGTATAGTAAATTGTTAGACTGATGTATTGTTTGCAAAATGTCTCTGGGTATTTATTTTTCTTGTATGTGAACATGTCATTTGCTTTTATTCTTTCTTTCCTTTTGAAAATTCAATAAAGATTATTTGGAAAAAAAAAGAAATACGCGTTTGATTTTACGGGGAAAGCAAGGGAAAAGGATGGCGTTTCCAATGCTCGTAGAATAGAATAGAATAGAATAGAATAGAATAGAATAGAATACATGTAGAATAGAATACATGTAGAATAGAATACATGTAGAATAGAATAGAATAGAATAGAATAGAATAGAATAGAATAGAATAGAATAGAATAGAATAGAATAGAATAGAATAGAATAGAACCTTGCCTCACGTTGGTAAGTTCAAATCATGAGATTCATGGATCACTTTAATTTTCCACTCTAAACTATGTAGGGGGTGGTACAGACTTCCAGTCAACATTGACCTATTTTCCCGTCACCTCCGACCTTTCTTCAGAGTCAAATGTTCGTCAGGTGGCTAGAAAAATGCGGCACTTTGCCATCAGCCATTTTGACGAATTGAGATACGATTCAGTAAACCGCATTTCTGTTGTTTTCCGGGATCGTAAAACGCAAGCTATGATCATAATATTATCTCCTCATTGACACGCATTGGTCGTCAGACGGATGACACCTGTGTTGTGAAGACGCTGCAGTTGTTTGAACTCATCAGTTATCTTGTGAGCGTGGGAGGGGAGGATGTTGTCGTAGTAGTGCTCGGTCAGACGTCTGTCGTTCCTGTCGGAGTGGAAGGGCCAGAAGCCGTACACGTGCACCTCCTCGCACATCTGTGTGGAGATAGTGACCAGGAGCAGTCCTGAATAATGAGAGAAAGAAATGTAGACAAGAAAAGTAACATCTGCAAAGCAAACGCATAATGTTTACCTTCGCATATGGTCTGCTCTGTTAATTCTTACTCAAACACACTTACAGTGGGGTCGTGTGGCGCAGCGGCAGCGTTCTCGACTCGTAACCTGAGGCCCCGGGTTCGAGTCCTGACATGCCTCCGATCTTGTGCCCTTGGGAAAGGAATTTCCTCACTTCGATCAGGTGTAAATGAGTATTGTACTGTCCCTGTGTTGGTGTCGGCAATAATATAAGTTGAAAAAACTTGAGTGTGTCGTCACCACGTCTTGTGATTACATGTTTCGGAATAAAAAAAAACACATTTACATATATGGTGACAGGAGTCTAAATCCCTCCTGCTATAAAATTGCAACATTATGTAACCCAACACTAGTTGCCATGGTGACTGACGTCAACAAATCAGGTCATTGACTAGGTCAGAGGTCACTGTTTAGAGAAGAAGAGGAAACTGAGCAAAAACAATATGTTTTCCTTCGGTAAACATAAAAATGTCTTGCAAGTTTACCATAAAATGTCTTGCAAGTTTTATATATACCACCACCAATGTGGTTACACTTTTAAAGGCATCCAATGCGATTTTAGGACGGCAAACTAACTCAAAACATACGGCTGAAGAAATGTTGTTTTTTTTTGTTTCTCCGCACTGAATTGCATTGAATGTTTTTTAATAATGTTCGTGTGTGGTTTGTTACACAACTAGAAATGCATGTGTAACATTAAAGTTAAATGCCCATTGCATATACATATTAAAGGCCATGTTGATTTGATTATATGGATGACATCCACGCGCGCATCAATTTTCCTCTGTTTCCAAAAAATGTTTTTGACCATACTGTAAATCGTACAAAATGTCGTATATGTCGTATGTTCCAAAGAAAGTATTGTAAAACGAATGTCATAGAATGCCGAAATCAATTCAGGAAAAGAAGAAAATGTGAGGAAATGGAAATGAAGAGTCTATTATTATTTGCCATGCCTTACCATTTGTGTTTAGTCATTTGTTCAGCCTTTATGACCACGTAGATTTCATAGTGAAGGAAACTTTTTTGCCAAACTTTTTTTTATTCGCACGCTCGCGTCAGTTTTGGGGTTCCCAGAGGATGTCATCCATATAATCAAATCAACATGGCCTAACGTTAAAAGGCAGGTACTTAGCCACGTACCTGTAGACACCATGGGACCCTTCACTCCTTGTTGTTTCCAGTATGACTGCACCGATCTGACGAAGTTAGGGTGAGGAAAGATGACCTTGTTCTTAACGTGACTGTCACTTTCCTGAAGAACTTCATGTGCTAAGAATGACCGATTTAGGGCCAGCTCATACAAGAAGGCTTCAATGAAGAGGTAGCTGTCCCCGTATGCTGAGAGGTCCTTAAGAAACTCTGCTTTTCCTTCCTTAAAAGCCTCCGACGTTCTCGGCAAAGTAATGTTTATTATTTTTTTTAATGGAGGCTGTCCGAACGAATTGTACCTAGGTAGAATCAAAGAAATATAAAACTAAACCGGTTGATATCGACGTCACCCCCCCACACACGCAAAGCATACGACCATACACTAACAATTAACATTATAATTTCACCCATACTATAGTATGGGTGAAATGTATTGTTTTCCATCATGTTTCTCCTTCTGCCATTTCGTCAAATGGATTCATTTTTGGGCTAAGTGGGCAAAGAAATTTGGTATGGAGGTAAAGTGGTCAAATACCCTCAGACGTTTGTTTCTTTATTTTTTGGATATAGGCTTTTAAAAGGGTTTTATTTGTTTTTATCATATATGGTATGCATTAGCACAGTTGGCGGGTGGCACAGGTGGCATGAATGACCATATTTGGCACACTACTTTCTCATCAGGTGGCAGTAGCTTTTCCTTGCTGATTGGCTGCTGGGATAATGTGATCAAACAAAATAATCAAACAGATACAGCTGCAGGGTTATACTGAAGGTGATCTCCAAGCCAATACGGGGTGGTATGGGTTCGGTGAATGGGAACATTTGGAATGGGGAAGAAGAATGGGTGAAATATGCTATATTTGCTCTTGAGCAAATGTTGGACTTTCTAATTGCTAACTGAGATATGAACAATCAAGCAAGTACATTTGAGATGGTGTAAAGAATCATCTTCGTGTTGAATTCAAATATATGTAGCATATACAATGTATACTGTATATATAATGTAACGTTACCGTTTGAAATTGAATATGATCATAGCTGTTTTTAATATTTCTATAAGAAAGTGACAGTTAGATATTGTGGTTAATTGTGGATCAACTCTCCATAAAGCTTACCTATAGAGAACCTGGGTGGGATTCATGGTGATAAGATTGGTTTTGTTTCCAATATCCTTCCGATATTTCTCGTCCATTGGAGCCGTGTTACACCTACAGAAATACAAAAATGAGCGGGTATGTTCTCTTCCAGCTACCTCCGAAATCTCTAAAAAGATGTTGAGATCTCTAAATGTCTCTAAATACTTCATGGACACATGGTGTCTTCGAATTCTTGTTTGGATTGAGAAGGTCTAGGTATATGTGAATGTTCCTCACCTGAACACTAACTCAGAGGCGTCTATCTCTTCTCCTCGCCTAAACACGAACTCAGAAGCGTCTATTTCTTCTACTCACCTAAACACAAACTGAGAGGCGTCTATCTCTTCTCCTCACCTTAACACTAACTCAGAGGTGTCTATCTCTTCTTCTCACCTAAACACAAACTCAGACGCGTCTATCTCTTCTCCTCACCTAAACACAAACTCAGCGGCGTCTATCTCTTCTTCTCACCTAAACACAAACTCAGAGGCGTCTATCTCTTCTTCTCACCTAAACACACACTCAGAGGCGTCTATCTCTTCTCCTCACCTAAACACAAACTCAGAGGCGTCTATCTCTTCTTCTCACCTAAACACAAACTCAGAGGCGTCTATCTCTTCTCCTCACCTAAACACTAACTCACAGGCGTCTATCTCTTCTCATCACCTAAACATAAAATCAGAGGCGTCTACCTCTTCTCCTCACCTAAACACGAACTCAGAGGCGTCTACCTCTTCTCCTCACCTAAACACGAACTCAGAGGCGTCTATCTCTTCTTCTCACCTAAACACAAACTCAGACGCGTCTATCTCTTCTCCTTACCTAAACACAAACTCAGACGCGTCTATCTCTTCTCCTCACCTAAACACAAGCTCAGACGCGTCTATCTCTTCTTCTTACCTAAACACAAACTCTAACGCGTCTATCTCTTCTTCTTACCTAAACACAAACTCAGACGCGTCTATCTCTTCTTCTTACCTAAACACAAACTCAGACGCGTCTATCTCTTCTCCTTACCTAAACACAAACTCAGACGCGTCTATCTCTTCTCCACAGCTGCTTCCGTTCAGTATGCCGCCGTTTCCCACCACACTGCATGTCTTGAACTGCTTGGCCGTGAACGGGCGCTCCTGGGTGGAATTGAAATAGCGGATCTTGCCCATGACTTTGATCGAACCTTCAAAAGCAGCGTGCATTTACAGACAATGTAATCGCTTCATAGCCTAGGTGCCATCCTCCGTAGTTTTCGCCCGCTCCCTAACGTCGCTGGCTACCGTGGTATTCTTCGCGAGGATGGCACCCGGGCTAATCGCTTCAAACCCACCTTTGGAAATCTTTCAAGTTGTTTTGCTGTTATTTTGATCTTTTGCTGTTTCCTCAAATATATGTACGTCGTGAGGACAGAATTAACATGTGTGTTCTCCTGCGTGACCAAGAAGTTACCGTTGCCAAAGTGACTGGATACTGATCTCTTCCTGTAAAATTGAAGGAAACCATAAATTCTATTAATTTTTCATATTCCAACATCTAATCACAAGACGTGGTGACGGCACACAAGTTTTTTTCAATTTATATTAATGCCGCCACCAACACAGGGGACAATACAAGACTTCAATTAAAATTGAAGGAAGCGTAACGGCAGAGTGCTGGGCTCAGAACCAATAGGTCCCGAGTTCGAATCTTGCTATGCCACTGATGATCTTGTACACGTGCCCTTGCAATTGGGAAAGTCACTTTATGCGACTCTTCTCACTTAACTCAGGTGAAAATAAGTATTGTACATGTACGTACAAGCTGCGTAAGACCACTCACACCTTCCCGGTGTGAGTGGTTCAAACCTTACAGTCCGGTCTTACGCAGCTTATACGTACATGTACAAAACTGGTGTGTTACGCCTAAAGGCATAACAAACTCTTACCGAAACAAGTCGGCGGCGGTTCTCTCATAGACCCATCCAGGTGCTTCCGTAGGTATGGTCTGCACGACTTTCTGGTCGGCCAGAAACTTTTCCTGAGCAACTGATTCATTAATTGCCCACATATAATAACGATGTTTCTTCCTGAAATTAAACGGATGAGAAAAAAATGGTTTAAAACCCATGAGCGTTTCGCGGGTGTCTGGAGGTTTCAAAATGTATGCTTTTTAAAGCTTTTTTTTTTCAATTCGTATTCGAAGATATTTAGCCGGCGATGTTTTTTTTTTCTTGTGTCTATTTGCAGCTCTGTAATCTGGATACATGACAGGTTTTGCAAAGTAAACGTTCTATTTTTTCAGCAATTTTTACCAACAAAATGGAATTTTAAAAGCTCATAACTTCCCGTAGAAATGACATAGCGAAACAAAATTAACATTTTTGTAATCCTTGGGTCTTGTTGCAACAGTCCATTAAGTTACAACGAAAAATATTTATATTTGATAATTTGCCACACCCCTTTGCATCAAAGGTGCAAAAGGACGTGGTTCATATGAATGAATGAATGAACTTTATTGCTCGACAATCGTACATGGTACAATGTGTGGCAGTAATACAACAATACTACAAAACTAAACTATATTATTACATTTCTTACTACAAACTACTATCTATACAGTATATGAGTCACAATATGTTCATGGATTTTCATATGGGGTCAAAGTTCAAGGTCAGATAACAAAGTCAAAGCTGCCAATCTACAACGGTTATCATGCATAATGATTAACTAGAGGACCTAGCCTTTTAAAAAAAACTAATTCTTCCTTGTCCCTCAGTTTGGTAACAAATTGTAATTTCTGGAGGACCTGGCCCATAGAATATGTGTTGCATATGTACGAGTACCTCATTTCATCTGTCAACTTTTCCCCTGTTGCATTCAGTTTTAGCTCTGCCGAAGTGTTGGCGACGATGCCGTGTTCCCTACTGAATTCATCTTTGACTTCCTTGGAGATATTTCTGGGGAAGAAAAGAACATTTTGCCGTCATTTCAGTCGTCGCTCGACTTTTGTTTAAGTCTATAAGGAACTGAATATGTTTGTGTCTTTGTTGCATACTAGTACAGTGTATATACAGGTACACTCGTACCGTTTCTGTCCATCATTCTGCTGTTCTACTGATGTATTGGTAACGCCATCGTGCTTGCGTTCTTCATTATTTTCTTCTTTTGGGAGATTTCTGTGAGAAATAAAAAGAAAATTAGAAAGGTAATATTTGCAAAGCAAATGCATAATGCTTACCTTTACATTATGGCCTAGCCTAACAACCTACTCTGTTTACTTTTACTCAACCACATTCATAATGTGATAACACCACAGGATGTTGCTATGTTGCTATGTTACCATAGTGACAGCCGTCTGGTCCTAGCTAGTCAGTGTTATTTGTTTGTGGAAGTGGAAGGAGAAACAAAGCAAAAGCAATATGTCTTCCTTCTGCGAAGGTACACACAATTAATTTATTTTGACGTTAATTAATTTGACAACTCTTTAAATATTACAGACACAGAGCAAAGTTACTACAGGCTGTTCAAATGGGAATTCAAGACACGATTATTCAGATTCTATACTACTTTAATTTTCTTTTATTTACATGAAAGCTTATACATATTGTATCGAATGGCCGTGTGTTTCGGCTAGCTGACCCGGAATCGAGAGGTCGCGGGTTCGATTCCTTGCATTCTTGACTAGACTTTGTGTCCTTGGGAACCGCACTTTATTCGACTTCCTCTCTCACCCCTCTCAGGTGTAAAATGGGTACATATAGGTACCTGATTTTGGTTGGGGAGGTAAGCGACGGTGACCGGAGAGGGTTAGGCTTGGCCTTCCGATGCCGTGCCAAGTTTATTTTGGGTCTCAATTCGACTCTGCATACCCTCAGCTCTAGCGACTGTCTCTTTCAGGAAATACCTCTTAAACCAAAACACTGTGTTTGCAAATGAAGGATATCCCTCTAGCTAGCTACGAGAACAATAGAATTTCAATTTCTTTCACTTTCATATGGTCGGAAAGAGAAAACCCTTATGTATTATTAAGAAAAGTATAAAGAAAATCCTAACACTAAGATTATCACAATAGCCCGTTGCGGGAGGCATAGCGACAGCACCCCCAGAACGCATACAAGGCATATATCTTCTCTCGTGCCCGAAATCAATTTTCACCCAAAAACACGCCACGTCTTACACTTTCCAGCCATGTTAGTAGTTAATACCATTTTGAAGCAGATTATGAGAAATGTAAACTCAAACATGAACCATCGGAACCCCTTCGTCACTTTTTTTGGGCACTACCGAAGGATTGGTGTACATGTGTGCACCGTTAGGCGCAGTGAGCCTTCGGTCTTGAAGAGGCTATGGAACTTCCTTATTTTACGTGTGAGTTGCGATGCCTACCTGTCAGCCCAGACGATGGTTCCCGCTGTTTTCAGTGCCAGCTCAGGAACAGGTCCGGATGTATACAGCTTGCCTACCAAAATTAGCAGGCCAGCCGACACCAAGAGCACGGCACACCGTCGCCTTTTCGCCATTTAACCACGAAGTACGATGCTGCGAGGCAAAGAAAAATATAAAATAATGTCAAATCAAATTTTCAAATTGGTTTATTGCACAAAAGCATATTGCAGCCTGGCGGCTGAATTGCACGCTCATTTACAATCTGTTATTGGAATAAAAAAATGGACTGAAATTATCAAAATAAGTAACGTGTTACAGTTCTAAAATCACTAACTTTTGTAGCAGTTTGCAACAAATGTAAAATCACACCAATACTAAACGTAGTATTTCAACAATATGTAGTTATGAAAACTTAGTCAAATGAAATAAAATAAAATAATAACTTGTAGATCCATTTTTTAGTTATCCTCCCTTAAACATTTTTCAACAAACGCCCCTGATGTTCCAGAGCAAGCAGCTAGGGGGCTCATGTCATACTCATGTCATTTCATCCCCAGCACAAGAGCTATCTACCATGCAAATCTCGCATGCATGTCTAGATCACGAGATATCAAAACCGGAAGTTCTGCTGCAGTACCATAGCAAGCTGCCAGGTGGCCCAAAATCTAATCATTTTGAGGTCTCATTAAGACCTACCCACCCACCAAATATCAAGATAATCCGTAAAAGCCTTCTTGAGTTATCGTGTTCACAAACACAAACACAAACACACACACACACACACGAACGCTCCTGAAAACATAACCTTCTTGGCGAAGGTATAAACACGGAAGCGTTAATCAGCTACAGCGAAATACAACTACTCAGTAGTAACTAGTATGTACATATACATTAAGAATTTTTCCTACCGTATAATTTCAAGTGATTCAATGTGGTGTATTTCGACCTTCTCGTCACCCCTACCACACATAATCTCCAAGCAGATTCGGTGGGGCAAGGGCTGGGCCTGTATTGCCCTCCCCACGTGAGGCGGCCAATGGTGACAGGAGGCCAGTGGATACAGGCGGCCAATATAGACACCCCTTATCCTACAGAATGTGCTTGGATAATTGTCTCACCTTGTAATTTCACCTTTTAGACGGTCGATAGGTAACCCCAGGGTAATGAGACCGCTCCTAAGTTGTGTCTGTGCGGCAGTAATAGTGTAGTTCTGGACATGGATCCTTGCATGTTGTCGGTCAATATGTGACCGTACACTGGAACGTCGTCGTCGTGGTTCCGCCACTCGTGTGCGCAAGCCGAGCTTGAAGTATGTTCCCTGACGTGCTGGTCACAGTTTCCGCCGATAATCCATACAGTCTATACTGTTCCCGTACTAATGTACTGTTGCTGTTCTACAGTCTATACTGTTGCTGTTCTACAGTCTATACTGTTGCTGTACTAATGTCTATACTGTTGCTGTTCTACAGTCTATATTATTGCTGTACTAATGTCTATACTGTTGTTGTTCTACAGTCTATACTGTTGCTAGCTGTTCTACAGTCTATACTGTTGCTGTTCTACAGTCTATACTGTTGCTGTACTAATGTCTATACTGTTGCCAGATACGTAACCTTCGGATCCGCACTGATGCATGGCGCACAACCTGTCCAACAGCTTTTTAGACCAATGGTATAATGCCAGGCGTTAACACGCTTAGTGAATTGGAAACAATGTGAGTTGGCGAAAATGTACGAACTGTCCTCGTCTGTAAAGTATCAACAAAAATCATCATCAAGATTGATCGATCATGAAAAGAAAATTTGATATTACAGACCACTATCGCTTTGGGTTGATATAGTTACCTCCATGACATGTCATTTTTCAGTTGCGTTAGTCCGTCTGTCCGTCCGTCCGTCTGTTGGTCAACAAGACAACTCAAGAACGGCTTAATGGATTGGTTTCATACTTGGTGTGTTGGTAGGGTGTGACGAAAACTGGAAAATGATGATATTTTGGGCCCCCTATTGACCTCCCTTGGAACTTCAGAGCAACTTCCGGTTTTGCTATCTCGCCATCTGGACATGCTAGGGTCATGCATTTTGAATAGTAGGTAGCTCTCGTGCTCAGCAAGACGTCACGTTCGGCCCCCTAGCAGCTTGTTATGGAACTGCAGGACAGTTTGTTTTCAAATGTTCTAGAGAGGATAACTAAAAAACCGGTTGACGGATCGTCGTGATTTTTAGTAAGTAGGTAGCTGAATGATGTTTGACGTAACTAAAATACGATTATGCATATCAGGATCTAATTTGCACAGTCAATAAGAAAATTCTATAAATCTGTTCCGGTTTTGATATCTCACGATCTAGACTTGCTAGGGTCATGAATTTTGGATGGTAGATAGCTCTTGTGCTTAACAAAAAGTCACATGACTTTCAGCTCCCTAGCAGCTTGTAATGAAACTGCAGGACGGATTGTTTAAAAATCTTCAAGAGAGAATAACTAAAAAAAATGGTCGACAGATCGTCGTGATTTTTGGTATGTAGGTAGCTGAAGTGATGCCTAGCACAACTGAATAACAATTATGCAAATCAGGATCTAATTTGCATAATGAATGAGGAAATTCTATAAATCTGTTGTGTTCGATATTATGGCTATGAAACACTTCTAACATATGCAACTGAGAACGACAGGACCATTAACAGATATTGATTATGTAAATAAAAGCCTAATATGCATAATTATTGTGAAAGTGCACCAATTCTATAGTTCTAACAGCTGGGAATTTAATACTTGCCATAATTGGAAGTTCAATAAAGGTGAACATAATTTATTTAATACCTTATTTGCATAATTAATGGTAAATTGCTATAAATCCATACAGGTAACTGCCAGGCAGTTCATACTTGCTACGTTTGGAAGTTAAGTGAAAGTGAAAATCAACAAACATGATTAATTCAAATCATTACCTCATTTGTATAATTTATGAGAAAGCGCTAGAATAGCCTTCTGCTGTCATTGGCTGGATTGAATAATTATTATGATCAACTGATGTAAACCCAATGGAATTGAAATGAAGATCTTGTCTCCTAATCAGTGGCTTATCTCGTAATCAAACTAGTATAATTTTGTCAGTCGGAACGGTTAACATCATTTGGCGAAGGTATAAGATCGTGGAACTCTTGTTATGCATGTATTTACATCTAATCCTAATATCGAGGAAAGGAAGTTGGCTACTAATTTTCTAATATTTTTGTCATGATTCCGTTGAAACTAATCTCTTTGCTTTGGGTGTTTGTGCCCGGTATTTCCCTGCATTACAGTAAAATTGGCCTGTCGAGACTATTGAATAAATCCAGGGCTAGAGAGATTGACGGCCAGATTATGATTTGATATTATGACTTTTGTTTTCCTTTATTACCTCCATGAAAAATGGAGGTATTGTTTTTGGCTGGTCTGTCTGTGTGTCTGTGTGTGTGTGTGTGTGTGTGTGTGTGTGTGTGTGTGTGTGTGTGTGTCTGTGTGTGTGTCTGTGTGTCTGTGTGTGTGTCTGTGTGTTTCCGCAACTTTGTAGTCAGCATAACTTCATAACGCCTTTATGGATTGTGATGATATTTGGTATGCTGATAATTCTTAGGAAGACAAAGGTCAAGGTCAAATATGGGCCTCCTGGTGGATGACCTTGGTACTGCAGCAGAACCGGTTTTTGTATCTTTTGTCTTGAACATGTTATGGTCTTGACTTTTTGGTGACAGATAGCTTATCCTGTCAGGAATAAGTGGTGTGAATTTGGTCCCCCTAGCAGCTTGTTCTGGAACTGCAGGGGACTTTCTGGCAAAATCTTTAAAAGCCAATAAGTCCAGATAGGAACAACGTATTTTCATCATTTTTGGTGTGTAGGTATCTGAGAGAGAGTTGTATATAATCAGATGCAAATTATGCAAATGAGGACTTAATTTGCATAATTAATGAGAAAATTCTATAATTACAGTGTTTTATGTAATAGTACTTTTATACATGTAATCTATTTAATCTGTGGCAGGCGGAACATCAACAGATACCAATTATGCAAATGATGACCTAATTTGCATAATTAATGTGAAAATTCTGTGACTTCTTATTGGTGAATGATGGGACTTTCATACCTTGACATGTGTAAGTTACTTAAAGGTTAACACCACTATGCATTTATTATGTTAATGTGGAGAGCATTTGCATAACTAATGAGGACATGTTGAAATGTATGACAAAGCAAGCCCATATTTCATGGAGGTATGAGATCTCAGAATCACTTCTGCAGTAAACGTCCACTGACTCTATTGCGGCTGCAACATCTATGGAGAGCACACCGACTGTGGTGTCCTTGCAGCGCTTTGCCTTACGGAGTTTCAGAACCAGTTGGTCTGTTGGCGACCATGACACGAACTCACAAGAATGCTCCCAGATCAGTGCATCCGACTTTTCTTGGCGGTCTGCATCTTTGTCTTGTCACGGCGGATTGTTACTAGATACTTGCCCTGACCAACTTTGTTCTCGTGGAGTTTTTGGCCCGCCGCTCTGTCTCTTAACAGCACGTGTACCTCTGAAAGAAACAAAAACAATATCTCCATTTTCATGGAGGTAATTAACAAGAAATGGTGCCTATACTATGCTATGTTTACTGCCAAGTATTACAACTAATTACAATTATTGGCATAAACTCATACACAAACGCACAGACTCTTGTTCTTGCCCAGGTGTCAAATCCTGGCAAACATGCCTTCAAAACTGTTTGCTCAAGTTGCAGCAAGTTTAGTAATGATAGGCTTGTGAAAGTTGGTACTTTGAGCGTTAGTCAATAGCGGGCCCGGGGGGATTCAGATGTTACGTCAGCATGAACGTGTGCTATTCAAGACATCCATACAAAACTCCCCTTTAAGTACACAACAGTCTTATCTTAAAGCAAATATGTGTGTACTTGTACCAAAAGTGCAAGATGCTACAAACAGACTTCTAGTTGCACCCGGCTTTTTTTATGGGTTAATTCAATGCAAGGTCAAAGACCACTTCTTGCCACTGAGCTACATGTAATACATTTAACCATTCATAATTTGCTCTGGGATCATTAAGTGGGCTCACGCGAAGGATATGAGAGCACCACGCCATTCCTTGTGGTGTATATACTACTATGGCTACGATAATGTAATTACGTCATATATATAGAGAGAGAGGGACTTACCGCTACGTCACGTTGCTGTTTACAACAATACCAATCCGCGGCAGTGTGTATTATGGTACAATGTATCAGGCACGCCGTTAGCAACAAGACACCATTATTTGGTTCATAATGTCATCAAACAGGTAGAACGTAAGATACCTAAATTGTAAGGGTCCGTTGTGGCATAAAACTCCACTGAAGTGTATGAATTCGAAGGTCAATATAATGTTCTCTTTTTCTATGGTATCCCTCCGCACCCCAATAAAAGCCCCGTGATAGAGAAGTGAGTTTCCATACGTGGCACTGTTTGCTGGCGAGAAAAGCGGAACTTACTTTTACTTACGAAAGATAGGCTTGATTATGCCAAATCAACGAATCTGGCCCGCATAAGAAAGTCTGGTAAGTACATCTTTGAAATATTCGTCTTCTATTCTGAGAAAGACAGTGAGGGGAGCAGACAATATGTCACATGGCATGTTGTTAGACCATAGGTTCTGTGCCGCGTTGGCTCTATAGGGAATGTGTACTGTTACAGTAGTGCTTGTTATTGGTTGTACATATCGGTCAAATTCTAAAGACTGATTTTCCCTCTTTAACCTTTGGTACGTATACAATTTACAAACAGCGCTGTCGAAAATCGGAGACAACGTCTGGACCAGTGCAGCCCGAGCGAGGAAACTGACCTATGCCCGCTAGCCAAACCACATACTAGTATTCAACTGCATAGCTAGAGGCATGTAAAACTAATTCCTTTAGTGTTATCACTCAAAGATGGATGATTAACCCGAGACTTAGGCTTTTCTTAAATACGAGATGTTTTAGCTAATTAGTGAAGAAGTCACGTCTCACGTTTTCCCATGGTTTTGTTGATCCAGTGTCAGGTAAATCTTTAGCCAGGACCATACAAAGCAATCTGATGTTGCCATCAACTTAATCAAACAAAGACATGAAGTCTGGTCACAATCACGACATATGTGACCCGGCCCTTAAAGTAATGATAACTGTTGTCGAGTTGGGAGTAATACGGTACAAGACGTTATTAAATAGTGAAACTTATTAGTTTTCATGGTTAGCAGTTAGACCAAGTCATATTCCTCTGTGAACACGCACCAGGGCACACGCACTACGACTTCAGGGCTTCCGAGTGACAGGGTAAAGGCACAGAAACCAAGTCCATTTTAGTCTCCTGTTGTGACAATAGACTGTGTTTGAAGTATCAGGATCCATGACGAACATGAGTGTCATATTACTGTTTACCTAATATCAGGTGGACCCTGTAAATATTATAGCCTTTAATCGCGTGTTGTTTTCTGGGATTACAGCTGTAATACAGTAGATGGGAATAACAGTATAAGTTTGGGCCTCCTAGAAGCTTTCTTGGGAACTGCAAGTATGTTACAGCCTGCCAGTTAGAATTTATCTTGAAAGCGATTTTAAAGACACTCGGTCCACCATACATGATTAATACATAGCTATGAATTTTTTTTTTCTCAGGTCAATGAATCAGAGTCGACAAAGATACGTGTTCATCGGGATATTAAAGAACTATTTTAAAATAATGTGAAATTGTGCAGACACTTGCGGATAAAACCTTCTATATTGTATGTGGTACACAGGGAAGACCCAAGAACAGATTCTGATTATATAAGCAAAGAAAACCCTGTCAGGAGGAACAAATATGTCACACACCGAGCTGTCTACAGTGGTGGACCAATTTCGGGAACTAGACTTAATCTTTAAAAGCGGTTCTGATCTGGATGTCGTAGAGTGGGGGTACGCACGGAAGTTGGTTCACGCTATAAGTACTCAAAATCAGGTTTTGGAGTGTGAAGCTTTGAAAGGTCTCGGAGATTTGTACCTGCACAAAGCAAAGATGAACGAGTATAAAGCAGAGAACTTCCACAAGGCTTGCTCCATGTACACAGAACTCTTACGGTATTACACTAGTATTGAGGAGAAGCAAGTTGTACAACATCGCATCAGATATGCAGAGAAATGCACGAAACTGGTCCATGATCAAGACTTTGTAAAAGCGGGGTCTATCAATCCAGGCAATGCCATATTGGCTGTGTCCACAACCCTTCAAGAAGTGAAAAAGAAGCTCATGCTGAAAGGACATGCCACGATGCCCTTGATTGAAGGTTATACAAATACTTTAGTGAAAGCAATCGTGGAAGGAAACAAACGTTTGGAAATAGAATCGTTGAAGAGCCTGGGAGATGTGTACCTAGAGAAGGGAAGGGTTGGTAAGGACGAGACAGCGTTCAGTAAATCAGCTGGTCTGTACCGAGCGGCGCTGGGCCGCTGTGAAGATTCAGACGGCAGAGAAACGCTAAGACACCGCATCAAGTACGCGGAGAAAGTTAAGGAACAAGAACGCAAGGTTAGAAAATGCTCATCCTTTCAATCATATATAATTTACTTTTACATATGACGTTATTGGTGTGTTGCACAGATAACATGAGCTTCATGCGTCTGATAAAATGATGAACATGTCCTTTTCGAAATGCATGTTCAGTATATCTAATTAACGATTGGAAATCCTACTTTTCGTTACGTGGTACTAGTTATATGTAGGGTATTGTTTACAAATCTAAGCTATGTTTCCATCTTCATTATCTTCTTTCCAAAGAAACACCAAGAAACGGGACGGACCAGAAACAAGAAAGTTGGAAACAGCAGAAAAGAGAAACAGGAAGTCACAGACAGGTTTGTTTAATTTGCTGTCTTTTTTAGTGTGCATCGTTAGATAGATGCTCAGCCTATTCACAGTCTCACGTCCTATATGGGCTAAAGCTACAGTATCCCAGTATCAACAATAATATGACTACTTTTCTACAGAACGAACCAAGACCAGCTACAGGAGGGCTGCAGGGCCCTGCAAACAGGGGATCTGGACACGGCAGAACGAAACTTTGCAGCTGCGCTCAAGGCCGTTCGAATTCATGGGAAAGGTGAGTGGCAACGTGTAGCTGTCACGTGGGGACACCCTAGCCTTTATGACAGCAAGGTTTGTGAATTCAGTATAAAAAAAAAGACACATAAGTGTGTAATTGTGTACCACACACGGTGTAAGCTAACTTGCAAATGACCTTTTGAAAAAAAACTCTTGGGGCTCAGACATAAGTAGCTTGCAACGATCGTTTAAAATATGTTCCAATGCAGGTCAGCACTGGAAAGAGTCAGAGCCCATTTGCAAGTTAAGCGATGTCTATTTCAAGAGAGGAGAGCAATCAAAAGACGGAGGTGATTTCACCAAGGCTGCAGCACTCTGTAACGCAGCACTGGTGAGAGCAAAGACAGAAGACAAAGAGGACATCAAGCAGACAATACAGGAAATCACACAATCTTTTGTTAAGCACGTCCTGAGTATCGAACAAACGGTACCCACGGATGACATAGAGAAACACAAATCGGTGTTAACAGAATGCCGCTGCTATGTGGAAGAAGAAATCAAAAGAATTGAGCAGCAGATAGATCCTTATAGCCTAGATGACATCGACCCACAGATCAGGGAAGTAGAAAAGAAGAGAGTGGACGCAAACAAGGCATTGTTCGACACAATTGTCCATCAGCGAAAAACATTCATAGCTGGCCTTGTAGATGAGTGTATGGAGGTTATGGGCCCTCCTCCCTGTAAGTACGCCATGATAGGCCTGGGTTCACAGGCTACAGGGCTAGTAACGCCATACTCCGATCTAGAGTTTGCTATTTTGATAGAGGAGGAAACAGAAAATGTTCTAAAGTACTTTCAAAACCTCACACATTACCTTCATCTCAAAGTGATCAATCTAGGGGAAACCATTCTCCCGGCCATGGCGATCAAGTCTCTCAATGACTTCGAGTCAAAGAACAAGCTTGACGACTGGTTCTACGACTCTGTAACGCCACGTGGTTTTTCTTTTGATGGAGCCATGCCACATGCATGTAAAACCCCACTAGGGAGAGGTAAAACATGCCTCCTTATTCGCACACCAAGCCACATGGCAAAATTTCTTGAAGATGACGTTAAGCTACATCTCAAGAAATGCTACCACCTAGCGAGTGTGTTGGGAAATGTATCATTAATTACTGGAGAACAAGGCTTGGTCGACAACTACAACGTTGCATGGAATCAGCAACTGAAGAAAAATGGAAGTGAAATTGCCAGGCTTTTAGCAAACACTATGTTGATGGAAAACACCAAGACTTTTGAAATGCAGAATCCGACTGCCCGAATGCTTAATGTAAAGAAAGACGTTTATCGCTTTTCAAGCCTTGCTGTATCTTGTTGGGCACTGCTCTGTGACATACATCCGACCACAATCTGGGCGACTATACAGGCTATGTACAAGAAGGGTGTCATTAGTGATTACAACGCACATAACTTAATGGTTCTGGTCAGCATCTCAGCAGAACTGAGGTTGCGAACCTACATGAACAATCGTGGTCAGGTGGAAAACATGTCAGTCTTATCGTCAATGTCAGTTACTGATGATATTGAGGAAAAAACTAAGCGAATTTTTCACTTCTCCAATGTAAAACAGCTCATGAGATACTACTACACGGCAACACCTTTGAAATACTTTGTTCCGCAACTAAGCAACGGTCGACCAGTAGGAGAGCCATGGATTCTATTCGACAACTCTTTAATACAAGCAGATGTATACGAAAGTCTGTGCAACTACGACCAATCAAAGACATGCATTGAACAGGCACTTCAAACAGTCCTATTAACACACGGAACAGGTGCTATTCATCCTCACATTGCTGGGCTACGTAAGAAGTTGGGTAGGGCGTGTGGTCACCTTGGTGATAACAGAAAAGCCATCAGTTATCATCAGCAGTCATTACAGATGGAGCGGGGTATCTATGGTGAGGACAACGCACATCCTGACATCGCCTCGTCACTTAACTACTTGGGTAACGCCTGGAGTAACCTTGGTGATTGCAGAAAGGCCGTCAGCTATTATGAACAAGCACTACAGATGAACCGGAGTATTCATGGTAAGAACACTGAACATCGTGACATCGCCTCGTTACTTCACAACTTGGGCAAAGCCTGGGGAGGCCTCGGCGATTACAGAAAGGCCGTCAGCTATTATGAACAGGCACTGCAGATGATGCGGGGTATTTGTGGTGAGGGCAACGCACATCCTGACATCGCCAGGTCACTTAACAACTTGGGTATCACCTGGAGTGACCTTGGTAATTACAGAAAAGCCGTCAGCTATCATGAACAGTCACTGCAAATGAGGCGGAGTATTTATGGTGAGGGCAACGCACATCCTGAGATCGCCTTGTCACTTAACAACTTGGGTGTCGCCTGTAGATACCTTTGTGATTACAGAAAAGCCGTCAGCTATCATGAACAGTCACTGCAGATGGAGTGGAGTATTTATGGTGAGGGAATCGCACATCCTGATATCACCTTGTCACTTAACAACTTGGGTCTGGCCTGGAGGAACCTTGGTGATTACAGAAAGGCCGTCAGCTACCATGAGCAGTCACTGCAGATGATGCGGGGTATCTATGGTGAGGGTAACGCACATCCTGATATCGCCTCGTCACTAGGCAACTTGGGTAACTCCTGGAGTGACATTGGTGATTACAGAAAGGCCGTCAGCTACCATGAACAGTCACTACAGATGAGACGCATTATCTATGGTGAGGGCAACGCACATCCTTACATCGCCTCGTCACTAGGCAACTTGGGTAATGCCTGGAATCACCTTGGTGATCACAGAAAGGCGATCAGCTATTATGAACAGGCGCTAGAGATGTTGCGGAGTATCTATGGTGAGGGCAACGCACATCCTGACATCGCCTCGTCACTAGGCAACTTGGGTTCCGCCTGGAGTAACCTTGGTGATCACAGAAAGGCCGTCAGCTATTATGAACAGGCACTAGAGATGAGACGTATTATCTATGGCGAGGACATCACGCATCCTGATATCACCCTACTTTCCAACTTAGGTAAGGCATGGAATCACCTTGGTGATTACAGAAAGGCCGTTAGCTATTATGAACAGGCACTAGAGATGATGCGGCGTATCTATGGTGAGGGCAACGCACATCCTGATATCGCCGGGTCACTTGACAACTTGGGTATCACTTACAGGAACCTTTGTGATTACAGAAAAGCCGTTAGCTATCATGAACAGGCACTGCAGATGAGGCGGAGTATCTATGATTCTCATCCTGACATCGCAAGATCACTTCTCAATCTGTATGTTGCCTGGAGTGACCTTGGTGATCACAGAAAAGCAGTCAGCTATTATGAACAGGCAATAGAGATGCTCAGTTATGAAACAGGTGATGATTGAAGAGACTTATAGACACTGACATTTATGGCCCGTAAAGTGTTCAATAGCCACACTGAAAACAGTTAAAGGATTTTCTAAAAATGATTGTGAAGTATGATGATTTTCTGTTTGTTTAAAAACGGAAACATGCAGCTATTCTAATGTTAAGCATTACTTTGCCGTCATATTTTGCTTGTTTTAAATGCTGTAAGGCCCATCATTGCTGTATATATTAACATTAAAGACCACACAATTGTGCTGTTTGACCCTCTTAAATTCAGTTACATTTATACTCAGGCGACTTTCATGTACTTCGGTTACAAACTGACAAACTCAGCAGTGTCAGATCAGACCGTATGGGAAGTCATGTAAAATACATAAATTGTATTTGCTCTACTTGTTAGTCATACAACTATCTTTGCAAATGCGTCAGAGTCACCAAAATCAATGGCAGAGATAACAATTATAGTTTCTGTAAACAAGGACAAAGTATACGTCGATGAAGGTTTAACATCCAGGTAATACGATACGCCAGAAAGCAGTTACTCAAGCAACTGGATATGATTTTGAAAACGTCAGACGTTTCAGCTAGTATCCACTAGCTTTCGTCAGTGACTGAGAGACCAGATCCACCCATGTCATATCCACCCAAGGAAACGCGCCTTTCAATGCAAACTGATCCAAAAGGAGGCTAGGGTGCAACATGCATTTCTGGAACACTCCGCTCTAGATCTAGGAACAAGAAATCGACACTCTTGTCGACCTAAGTGACCCCAAAATACATCACAGGGTACTACGATGGCGTTCGAAAATTGTGTCATCTTGATGACTTGAAAATATTGTCTTTGACTGCTACCAGTTTAAACACTCATGTCCAGATACATATAGAATACAACACGGGGTATTCCGTATCGCCCGAGGTATCGGCCCGACCGCGGGTCGGATCGCCCGACGGCCGCAGGCCGGAGGGCGATCCGACTCGCGGGAGGGTCGGGACCGAGGGTGATGCGGAATACACCGTGTTGTATTTTATTTATGTCATACCCACCCAAGAAAACACGCCTTTCAATGCAAGATGAGCCAAAAGTTGGTGCCACTAAACCCTAAAATGCAACAACATCAATTCCAACGTCCGGATTCTGTATTCGAATTTTCGAAAGGGGCACAAGCGGGTAGGGCGAAACGCGTTCGAATAGTCTTATGGAAGCCATGGAAGCGTTCGATAACGGGTTCCGGACCGGGCCGTACCGTAAAGTACAGCCCGGTCCGGAACCCGTTATCGAACGTTATCGCGGCCCGGGTATGATATAAAAAGGTATATTTGCGTCTAGTCTTCGTTGCTACTGATATACTGATTATATCATAGAACTTTATTGACACAACAAAGTACTTTTAAAGTACTTGTAAGATCTTTATACATGAATAGCATACATCCTCCTTTATTTGAACGTGCAAATAAACAGTTGTCAAATAAAGTTCATGTTGAAATCTATATGGTCAAAAATGCTGAAGCTGAACAAATTACTGAGCACACAGAACATGGTATACCAAACAATGCATTCTGAAGGTGCTTATATATTAACGTTTCTTTAACGTTTTCGGCACCTATGTCTTGGTTTGGGAACCAGAATCCTCTTAAATAGAGAGTACAACAGTTATTGAATAAAAATGTGTTAGGAAATGACGTACTCCTCTGAGGATGCATGTGCATACACATATGACGTTCTTACCCCGCGCCCGGTAATCAACTCAGGATATCAGTCTGGCTGTTTTCAATAGCCTCCACCAAGACTTCCTCCTTTTGGTGGTCTGGATCTAGTCTCCACCAGACTTCTTTTGCGGGGTGAATAAATCGTAGAAATCGACCTAAAAAGGGTATTAATTGGCCAGAGAAGGTAGCCGGCCAGAGAAGCTCCATTTCCCCGCCATTTGTGGACTTCAAAGAGGATACCGAGATCTCACAGACTTCTTGGCGGGGAAATGGAACTTCTCTGGCCGACTACCTTCTCAACCCTTTTTAGGCCGACTTCTACGATTTATTCACCCCGCAAAAGAAGTCTGGTGGAGACTAGTCTGGATCGTAGAATTCGGCAAAGAACTCATCCCTGAATTTCTTCCAGTTTGAGCGTTTGTATAGGAGGATGTTACGTGACTTTTGTAACAATAACCTTTTTGCTCTATGTTAGCTTACCTAAACATTCAAGCAAGCACGATTCGGATACTGGATTCTGCTCTCGGAGGAGTGTATTTATTCACAGTTTAACACAATAATAAACAACCACAGCATTGTAACGACAAGATATCCAACCTTTCTTCTACAGTTCCTGACAACTAACAAGAGCCTCAGTTACATTAACAATAGGACATTGCGTTGTGTACTTTTTTATAGACAAATGACTAAGGAGTTACTTGTTCAGTTGGAACGGACACAGGACACTCGGAAGTAACTCCGACTAGACTCTCTCGTAATCACTGACGACACACGACTCACTACTGACTCGCTTTCTCCTGTTCTGCCTTTTAAGCTATCCTAATTATGCGCATAACTGACTCTGACCTTGATTGGTAGACAATACGGCAGCCCACATGTAAGTGTTAACTGGACTTGTCTACACCTCTTTGTGGTGTATATTAATACTGGCAGACAGGCAAGGTGTTTACAGAAGTACAAAGCTGTTGATATACATAATGCATTTTGGCACATAATATATTTTGACATCTGTACAAGAAACCGAAGGTGCTAAACAGCAGAGAGTGACAACATTTTACATAATACATAAAACTATGCCTTTGATCTACCTACTCTAAAACTACCATCTTACACTTTGCTCTGTGCTTTTGAGGGCGCAGGTCTGCTTCCACAAGGGTTGGTGGAAAAAGGAGTCCAGTCCGATTGGCGGAAAAAGCAGTCCAGTCCGATTTGGGGGTGGAAAAAAACCCGGACTGCTTTTTCCACCCCCAAATCGGACTGGACTGCTTTTTCCGGCAATCGGACTGGACTCCTTTTTCCACCAACCCCTTTCACGGGTTCAAACACACTTAAAAGGTCATGATCACCAATGGACGGTAGGGTGCGTACTGAGTTTACACAGTTTTCATTAGACATAAGGACTAAACTGAGTATTTTCGTGTCTTGTATGTTTATTTTTGACATGTTATAGTCGCACAGCATATCTACAAACTGTCTATGCAGGCCTGGGTGTGCACATGATGGCTTTAGAACCGGACGTTAATTTCCCCGACGATCCACACATGCTTGTTTTTCTGGTTGCAGATTTTAGCCATTGATTGCTCTAGGTTCACTAGGCTGGTGGTATCACCAACATGTGGCGTATGATAGGCACATATGTACATTGGTGTTTCACCTACGAGTTGGAGTTTAACCCAGACCACTCTGTCTCTTACGAAGGCCCACAACGACACTTCCACACACCTCTTCCACAGCCCTTCCACAGCGCGCTGCCAAGGATATACCTTCCATAGCGCTATGGAATGTACATGTATATTCCTTGGCAGCGCGCTGTGAAAGGTCCGCGGAAGAGCGCTATGGAAGGTATATCCCTTGGCAGCGCGCTGTGGAAGGGCTGTGGAAGAGGTGTGTGGAAGTGTCGTTGTGGGCCTTCGTAGTCTCTAGTTGAGGTTCTTCAGTACAAATGAAATCATTGGATATTGAAATGAGGACAGTAATCTCCAATCAGATGCAATATTATAGGTGGCCGCAAAAGACAGTTTCAAGTTTGCCAGACTGTATCCATTTGCCACCCAACGGTGGATGGCACCTACTGGGGTTTTCAAAAGGTAAAGTGGGAACTTAAAACAAAAGTTAAGCACAAAATTACAGTGAAAGGAAAAAATTGTTGGGAGGAGAAACGGAGGGGTGCGTGCGGCCGGTTGGGCATGCGTAGCAGAGTTAGTACCTCATTGTTAGCATAATCATAGTAAAATCATGATATTCAAAATCTACTTGCCATTGTTGCTCTGAAGGTGTACATCTATTAGTTTGCTTCCACACAAAGTTTTTTTTTTTTCATGTGAAAGGTTCTTAATCAGGCTATATGCAGTTCAGTCTATTTCCACAACTGTTGGCTGGAGTCCCGCTGTGTCTCTTGAAGGTTTGGAGGGTTCTGACGTCCTGAAGTACGTATGGATTTGACGGTGACGGTTTTTCACGGCAGACTGTTCATCTGGAGCCAGACGTGGTGTGTTTTGTCCCTCTCCATGTGCAGGGCCTTCCTGACGGTTTCCTACCGCAGACTGTTCATCTGGAGCCAGACCCGGTGCGTTTTGTCCCTCTCCATGTGCAGGGCCTTCCTGACGGGGACTTCTCACTGCAGACTGTTCATCTGGAGACAGACGCTGTGTGTTTTGTCCCTCTCCATGTACAGGGCCTTCCTGACAGGGACTTTTCACTGTAGACTGTTCATCTGGAGCCAGACGTGGTGTGTTTTGTCCCCTTCCACGTGCAGAAACTTCCTGTAGACTTGGGACGTCTCCTGTTCCAGCCTGGTCTTCCTGTGGGTCCGCACGGTTCCTCCGTATCACGGTGACAAGTGTCTGATGGACGCCCGTCAGTTTTTGCCAGATTGCACTCTTCAAGTCCGGCGTGCGGATGAGTGTTGCTATGGGGTTAATGAGTGAGTTCAGACATATCCCCGAAAACACTCCGTTGTTAGGGCAGAAATCCGGGAGAACTCTACAGAATGCAAAGAACAGGAGGGGCAACAGCCAGCAGGCAAATGCCACCACTACATGAATCATCACAGTCCTAGCCTTGTACACCCTTTCTTCATATTTTCTATGAGCCTCCTCTTGCGCAGCGTTGTTTTGCCCAGGACCATTTACTCCTGGTGCCTGGTGTCCCCCTGTAGCTGCCTGTTCAAGCCTTCTCTTTTCTCGTTGTCTGATTGCTACATACACTCTGATATTTGTGAACAGCATGACGACGCACAGCAAGAGCGCTATGGAGGAACAAGTGACAACAAAGGCCAGGGGGTACCAGGAAATGCAGATCCCGGTTGTGA